ACTTTATTTTTTTGGACCTAGGAAACTCAAGATCATTTTTTTAGGGGACCCTGAAGTAGAATTATGAAACTTTTGACTTCTAACAAACACACAAGAAATAGCATAATCTTTTCGATGCTTGAAAATGTAAATTAAGTCATCCATACGTTCCTGTTTGCTAACATTTTCTTCCAGCCAGCCATATACTCTTAAAACAGTATTCTGTGTCATGGGGTGACTTAATATTGTTTAGGACTGCTTCCACTTAGCTATGTGGATGGAAAAACTCATCCAAGGACACACACAATAACTTTTCTTTGGTCTTCCTTCCCACCTCTTACTACAGAGATCTGAATGGCGTTGGGGGGGGGGGCGGTGTGGATCTTCATCTCTCACAATGTAGTTTCTCCTGCATCATCTGTTGTCATGGTAATAATTGTAGCATTGCAGTTTTAGTACTACAACAGAGCACACTCCAGTGGAATCAGATTGGCAAACACAATCTGTAGGATGAAATCTCTCTCAAAAAGGGTCTGTTGTGCTTTGGGACATTTTCCCCACCCTTTCTTTGTGCTTCCTCAGCTATCTAGTCATCTGATCCAATCTCTCTTTAATGATTTTGTCCAAGACTCTTCAGGGCCAAGAGGACTAGAAGGATAAATATGATCCACACAATTATTTATATAGATTTCATATCAGTTAAGGAAAAATTTCCATATAGTTTCCTGTAACTAATAGAGTATATCAACATTAAAAAAAAATCCATCAACAGCTTTTAGTCTTTAGGAGCTTTTCTGCAATTCTTCTAAAACCTCTGTAAGTCACTTGAAGATAAGAGAGTCACCTCAACCAAATAATGAATGGTTATATTAGGTCACCAAGTGACATTTTTAGCTGGAGCCTGCCTGACTTTCAAACAGAGCCCGAGTCCTATAATCCCTGAGGTAGCAGGTAGTGGTTGTATGTTTGACTTTTTAAAAATTTTGAATAAGCAACTTTAGAGAGGATGGTGAATAAAATAGTTACTAACTTTTTGTCTCCGTTTTCCCATGCATATTGGTAATCATCGACTTATTCCATCTTCTCTGCCAAACTAAAAGAAATATTCCTTTTTGTAATAAATGAACGCTTACAAACAACATCACAAAGTGGGACCAATGTATCTGAGTTGGTCCTATTTGAAACCTGGCAGATAAGATGGCCTTCACTGTCATAAAATAATTGGTAAATCTAGAGACAGAGGTAGTTATAGGGAAAAAATTAAGTAATCATTTTGTTTTGGGAAGCACTTTGACTCCCCTCCCCTTCTAACTTTTTTCTAAATTCTTCCCTCCCCCCCCCCAAAGAAACTATGACCTTTCCAGCCCTCTGACTGGTCAGGTTTTCTGACTTTACCTGTTCATCTGAGTCACTAAGTCCTCTCTAGGTGTGTTCCTTAATTTCAGACCTTTCCCTTTTCCCATGCTCTTCCTCTACCATGGAGCTGTGTTTTCTTACGAAATAACAGGCTAATGAGTACACCTTTAAAAATATAAGTCCGATCTTGTCACTCCATGACTTAAGCCCTGTGGTGGCCTCCATCGTATGTAGAGTAGTAGCTGAAGCCCTCACAGGTGCTACGCAATCTAGCCCCAATACCTGCCTAACCTGATTGCCGACTGCGCCCAGCCCAAGCCCTGGGCACACACCATTTTTTTGGCCTGGACTGCTTTTCCCCTGCATGTCAAAACGGCTGGCCTCCTTATCACCTCTGCGTCTTCATTGCTGCTTCCCCACTGTGACATTAGCTCTCCAATCAATTAAAAATGAAATGTTCTCAATTGGCCAACCTTGTAATCACTATATCACTTAACTGTTTATTTTTCTCCATAACATTGATCTCCATATGACACAGTATATATTTAATTTGTTTATCTGTTTATTATGTGTCTACTCCTTTCTCCAACAACACCCAGTAAAGAAACACCATTAGAGAAAAGAATTTTTTTCCTGTATTGTTACTTTATCATTTTATTGATAAGATAGTCACTAGTTCCTGATAGAAGCTCAACAGACGTTTACTAGATAAATAATTAACCTCTAAACTAAGGGCAGAAAGGAGACGAATCTCATTTCTTGTTTTTTTTTTAAGTTTATTTTTGACAGCAAGAGCAAGAGCACGAGCGAGGGAGAGGCAGAGAGGGAGAGAGAGAATCCCAAGCAGGCTGCATACTGTCAGTGCAGAGTCTGATGTGGGTCTCAAACCCATGAACTGTGAGAACATGACCTGAACCGAAGTCAAGAGTTGGCTGTTTAACTGACTAAGCCACCCAGTGCACCCCAAAGAAATCTCATGTCTATAGAATGGCGTGAATGACTAAATGAGGGCACTCAGATTCACTTTCTCAACAATTAGCATTTAGGTATAATGGAAAGAATGAGTCAATTAGTATTCAGAGTTGAGACTTGCAGGATACAATGAAGTAGAAGCAGATCTGTCAAAGCCAAAGCCTGTGCCAGCTGGGGATATGAGGAATCAGAAAATACAGAAACAGAGGAAGCCAGTGAGCAGGACTTGGAACAAGTACATCCCAAGGAAATGTCACTACTGCAACAGAAGGAGACTATGAGGTCAGTGAGAGGCACAAGGACCCAAGGTCACTACCTTTTTAAGAAAGTCACTCTAGTTAGACTTGTTCTGTATTACCAAAAGGCATAGATAGGAGTGCCATCCTGAGGTATAATGGCTTAACATATTACCTTTCCTTGGTAGCATATATTGTGCAGCGTCTTATAAAATCAGTTTGTTCCTCCAGCTGATATTTTCTAGCAAAGGCATTTCGGGTATTGTGCTGGGTGATTGGAAAAGAAAGGTTTTGATTTCTTTGTCTGTTAACCCTTTGGAGTCACATATCCGACCATCCTTTGTCCTTATTGTAGAGCCAAAGTCCAAGTTGGGCTCTAAATTACAATGTAATCTGGGGCGCCTGGGTGGCGCAGTCGGTTAAGCGTCCGACTTCAGCCAGGTCACGATCTCGCTGTCCGTGAGTTCGAGCCCCGCGTCAGGCTCTGGGCTGATGGCTCAGAGCCTGGAGCCTGTTTCCGATTCTGTGTCTTCCTCTCTCTCTGCCCCTCCCCCGTTCATGCTCTGTCTCTCTCTGTCCCAAAAATAAATAAACATTGAAAAAAAATTAAAAAAAATAAATAAATTACAATGTAATCTAAAAATTGCTCCTTTAATTTTATAAACAAGATTAATAAGGGAAAGGGGGATGGGGAACGTAAAACCTAATGGTGCGAAGGACTGCTTCTGAATGCAAGTGGGGGTGTTGGCCAGGTTTTAGAGCAGCTGAAACTGGGAAAGCGTGAGGAAATGACATCGACCTGAGTAGCAGCTGCCCCCTTTGGCCTGCGTGTGCATCTCTACTTCACCACAGTTTATACTACTCACTACTGGCTCTCTCTCCTTGGCTGTGAGACCATTTATTAGGGTGCTTATGCTATCATAGTGATGCAAACTAGCCAGGTCTGAAAATCCAGAGGGGCCCCTCAGAACGAGCCAAGAGGGCCCTTGGCTTTGCACAAGATAGAAATCCAATGTGAGCCAAGAGGAAGAGAGATCAGAGTTTACTGAAGATGTAAAGAGAGTGTAGATATGGACAGAGCATCCAGGAGACTTGGAAAGGAGAGTGAGTCTCATCTTTGCTTGCGGTCTGGGGTCTTTACTGAGGATTGTAGTCGGGTACACATGTCTTCTCAGGCATCGGGAACAAAAACTAGTGAGATATCCTCCATGAGTGACTTATGCCCCGGAGCCGCGTGTCTTAGTGAGTCAGTGGTCTTGGACAACCCTGCCCAGTCACTCCTTAGATGTTATCTATCATGCTGGAAACCTCCAAAGAAATTATTAACTCCTTGACCTTTGTAAGTAGGACATACATTATCTGTTCTATAAGGCATGTATAAGGTGTAGATAGAAGTCTTAGCAAGAATAAAAGCAGGAAAAGGAACAACAAAAAAAGTAGTTTTTCATGGATTCTCTTAGTTTCCTTGTCTCAGTAGGGTAGAGGAGCATTTCTTGATACCTTTGTTACAAACAACAGTAGACAAAAAAGAGGACTGAGGTGACTTCATGATTTTATTACATCTGACCCTCTTTACTCACCGAGGTTCCCTGCCACTGGCGGGATTTGTGTTTGCAGCCGCTGATCATCTTAACACTTACTCTGTAACTATGAAGAAATTATTATTCTCAGAGGTTTACTGACTTGTCTAAATTGGCATTAACAAATTTTTTAAATGCACCCGGCTACCTCTGACTGTCTTTCACTGGCCATCTTGATACAGAGAGTAAGGAGACTCAAATTAATATTTTATCCAGTAAAAGATTTAGAGACTGTGGTTTACCCTGCATACGATCTATTCAGCCAGCTTCATTGGCATAGGACTCAAATATTCCCTGTAGCTATGCTGAATTGACTGGAAACATGATAAGGCATCTGAATTCTGCAGGTATAGTCATTCCTAGCAACCAATTTGATTTTTGACGGACAAAGAGCCCCAGGAAAGTAGATGCCTTTGTACCTGAGAAAAAAAGAAATCCCAAGCAAGATAGACATGCCCTAATCAGTATGCTCTGGGTATGACAGCATGCAAGTGAGTGATCTGTTTTGTTCTGAACTCTGGCTCTGTCAATGACAGTACACGATTTACTAGAACAAATCAAATAAGTGTAATTGACTCCTGTTTTGACGTTTCAAAACACTGAACCATATTTCCTTTGTAGTACTCTGATTCCACATTCTTAAATTTGATTTTTTCATATAAAATACCTTAGTCAAAAGAGAGAATGCAAATAACAATGCATCAGGGTAGAATTGTTTTCAGTGCTTTCAAACGTTACGGAAAGAATAATTTCTGCACGGATATGATGATGTGGTCGATGTGGGTCAAAAAATTGCAGCCTCAAAAACCGATTTGGAGACTTGGACCATGCAGTGGTCAAATGTTTCAACGCTCTGTTGTTCCCATTCCTGTTACAGGTACATGTGACAGCGCTGCAGCTATGAGTGGAATTTTAAAGGGGAAGTTGGAAGAAATTGACGGCTCTTCACCCTGCTGCTCTGTGCAGGAATCAGATGATGAAGTTTTTAGCTGTGACGGTGCTGACAGTGTTGATAGTGTCAATCTGTCCACTTGTAATCTTTTCACTGGTGAGTATCCGAAGCCATATTTCAGGCTGTACTCTAAAGTGTGTTGTATGGTCGATTCCTGGAGTTTCTATCTTTATCCACTGCCTTTTATCTGCTCCAAGTTTTTCATCATATCAGACTTATTTGTAAAATGTGATATCATTTTGTTTAATTAAATCTCAATGGTATCCTTCTGTTCATCTCTATGGAGTAGGTATGAGAGGCAGAAACGCGTCCGATTGAAGGTAAGCAATTGAAAATGATCTCGTATGCACCTTCAGCTTTCGGAAATCCATCTCAAATCCATTTCAAAATCTGATCAGTTGAGCTCTTTTGAAATTCTAATAATACTGGTCAATGAGTTGTGGAATCAGCAGTATTGAGTACACCACATGTATTTCCTACGTGAGAAAACGATGTTTGTTTTTAAAAGAATGCTGCTCTGAAATCAAAGCCCTGAAAGCCATCAGCTTCTATTGTTCTTGGAATACTAGTAAACCTCAAACTTGAGGCCAGATTCATGCACTACAGTAAGTGCAGCTTTCTGCACGCGTATACCTTTCCTAAGCAGTTAATGTGAACAGCATCATTTGGTATGGTATGTAGTATGTTCTAACTTAAAATTGTAGCCATTTCAAACTGCCTTCCCTATAACTGGTACACATTGATTGATTTTGGATTAGGTGAATCTTTCCAACATCTCTGTGTGCCTTCCATCCCAGTCACTAGGGAAAGAGGGATCTCTAAATTAGTTTTAGAAGTTAATCATACAAAGCAAAACTAAACAAGGTCAAATAAAGTCCCATAGGATGATGGGTATAAACTTCTTTTTAAAGCACCATTCCATACGTAAAGCTAAAAATTATCCAGTACAAAAGAGAAGGGTTTTTTTCCATAATAGCTTTTTTAGTATTATTTTTCTGAGGTGTGTGGGTTTGGGGATTTTTAACTTATCAAAACAACCTTTTAATATTCACAGTGATGATCTTGCAGTGTGGCTCCATGACCCCTGAAATTCCATTTTTACCCTCTTTCCTCTACTCCCAAGAATTCAAAGGTTTGTTTGATATTTATGAATTCTCTCTCATCATTGTTAGAAGCATTTAGAATAAAAGTAGGTATAATTTTATAAGATTGTTTAGTCTTTGTATTATTTATTTCTTGACTAAAGTACCACTATTATGAACTTGTGGGAAGTAGAAAAAGTAAGGAGGAGGTAAAGAAACACTTAGAATAAGGGATAACATCATAGTTGTTTTGAGAATGAGATTCTTTAGTTACATGGAAAGGTTATTGTCAATCAGTGGGTTTTGGGTGGATCGGTTTGTTTGTGATTTATCTAAAGCCTTTCCCCCCTTCCTCTAAGCGACTGTAGCCCTTGTGGATGGCACACCCCCTTGCTGTCACCCACAGTGCCTAGAAAAGTGCTGAGCATTGAATGATACTTAGACTCCTTTATTGAATGAATGGATTCAATTTAGATAATTCTCTCTCTTTTTTGCAATAATTGTCTTTTTTTGACAATAAACATTGCACCTATTTAAAGTTTACAACATGATGTCATGATATATGTATGCATTATGAAATGGTGACCACAATCAAGCTAATTAACATTCTGTCACCTTACATAGTTACATTTTTTGTTGTTGGTGGTGGTGAGAACACTTGGGATCTATTCTTTTGGCAAATTTCAAGTATGAAATACATAATTTTTTTCGTAATTTCAGACAACTTTAAAAGCCAGAGAGAATGCATCTACTGGATATCTTTATCCTTAGTATATATTTAATTTCAAGACCCTCAGGGACCCTATTAAGCACCTTGCCTGTGTACCTTGGAGAGCTCTCCTTCTCTAAGCCCGGAATGCCACAGGAGCTGCCTAGAATGTTTCAACTTTTTCCCTTTAGCCACTCCTAAAAAACATCATCAATCTAGACTCTATTTCTTTGAGATACCACCTCATCCAGTGCAGCAATTTCCACATGCCAGTGTTGTTTTTTTTAAACCTTCAGCATGCTTTCAACCTCTCTGGTGTCTATGTCTCTCCTAAAGTTACAAATTGACTCTCTCCTGGAAAAATCAATTGTAGGACTCTCTATGCAAGATACCCATCGATTTCTATAGCTTGTGAGTTCACAAAGTACCTGTAATGTTCATTTAAACACCATCAGGTCTCACAATTGTGGCTCAAGATGCTTTCCAGATGAAAGTGATGTTCTGGTGGCTTAGAGGGGTTTGAAAAATTATAGGCTAGACACTTGTTATAAGTACCTGAACACCCTGAAGGGTAAAAGTTTGAATGGAGAGTGGTTTTATTTTGATCAAATAAACTATTTGATAGCTATTTTGACATCTGTTCGCAACTTTTCTGTTTTATAACCATCACAAGAGTCTGTGGAGGAAGAGGTGTCCAGTGTGCACAGAGGAGAAGTCAGGCTGATAAAGAGAGTAGATTCAGAGTTTCATTAGCCTTCTTCCAGCACTGTTGTTAATGTCCTTTTCTTAGTAAATTTTCAGGGGTTTTGAGGGAAACGTTTGCTGATACTACTCTGTAAGGAAGTGATATGCATCATTGAACAACTTGTAATTGAATGTGTGATCAGCACCATGATTTGAGATAAACAGTGGGGAGGAGAGTAAGGAAAAATGGTTGGAAAATGTTACCTATGGATGATTTCCTATTATTGTGAGCTGCTCTTACCCTAATCATCAATATGAAACTTTACTAATTATTTCATAAAGCCGGGCAAATTGAGGAAGAAAACCCATTTTAATTTTTTGAGAGAATTTAACACTATGTAACAGTATAAGACAAAAACAATAGTAGAGTCAACCCTCAATTTGAATTCAAAGAGTGTTAGTACTAGTAAGGACTTTGAGAACATCTAGACTGTGTTTCTTATTTTAAATATGTGGAGACTGAGGCCCAGCGAGAGTAACTAGACAAGGATCCAAATGTCGCTATTGCTATAGGACTTTATGGTAGCTCCTCAGAGGCTACCTTTCTACTAGACTGTGCTGCTCTCCAATGGGTCTTTTACATCACTGACTAGATCGAGGGACCCATCTAATCAACAGAGAGACATTGGCTGTACCTTTTGTGCCAGCTCCTCTTAGAAATAGAATGAGCCTACCTTTCGGTAAAGGTGTTTAGCATTTCATCACCTCTTGCCGTTTTTTTTTTCTTTTTTTTCGGTTAGTGTTGTGGCGAAAGTTAGTATCTTCTGGATGTAATAATATAGTGCCAGTGATGAGTTTATGAATATATTCAATGAGCAAAAGAAATAGTGGACAGAGAATTCAATTTGACTGTGAATGAACACTTTCCCTTCCCCTTTCTGTAAGTAAGTGACAGGGCAGACTGTTGAGACTTACCTTGTACATCACTGACATTGATGGAAATATCTTACAGCAAACATGTTGTTTTACATTTACATGAAGGAAATTGGTTCGTCTTGGTGACATAATGCTGCTTGTGATAATGTGAAAACGTTACAATGAAAAGAAGATGAGATGAGGTATGCAGTGTGCATCTTTAACGGCAGCTAACAAATACAGGGTTGTTTCATTTACTTTAAAAGTAAAAGCCTTTGTACATTCCACTTTTGCCAGAGGGGTGAATGGGCATCCTGGACTCCCTGGGGAAAAAAAAAAAAAGATAATGATATCTTTCTATCCCTTGAACTCCAGGACCCTACATTACTTGTTCAATAATTCAAGACTTCAGAAATGCACTTACCTTGCGTTTCGATTAGACTCACTTAGTCACAGCTTCTGACTGAATGCAGTAATTATATTCCATTTTGCTGCCTAGGTACAGAATTGGCTTTTATATTTGCTTGTTTGTTTTAAGCCCTGAGAAACTTAAATTTGGCTTTAATCTTAAAAGCACAATTGGTCTGAATTTGAAATAAATTTTTTTTATATCAATATCACAGTGAATCTAGAAAAACAACACTTATTGTTTGTGGTTTTAACTCTCAGTTAGCTACCATTAAAAAGTCAATGTGGGTAGTTCTAGTGGTATTAATGGTACTATTTCTCACATTATTCAAGTGATAAAGTCCTATTAGCATGGGATCCAAAATATATCATAGAAACTCTTCCGATTTCCCACATCTGTTATTTACTCAGGATATCTATAGGTGGAATTGACATTGTAGCTATATTTCATAAAAGTACAAGAATTATAGTTGCTATTAAATATTAGAGACCCTGTCTTTACATTAACGATCAGAATATTTTCATCTGATAATGTAATTTCTTTACAAATATTTCATAGAGTATTTGCATTTTTTATAAACCTTTTAATAAGAGCTACATCCTTATTTTGGGGTCACGTAGGAATAGTCATAGACAATAAATAGATGATTGCCCAGTTGCACAATGTCATGACTTCAAAAATGGATCCAAGTGAAATTTAGGTGATTAAAATCCTACCGACCACTTCTAAGTCCCATAATCTTTTGGCTTTGGTTTGAATACCAGAGGTTGACTGGCTTTATGCTTGTTGTTTATGATGGTGACGATGAAATCATAGTGCCTGAAGCAAATGTCCTTGTGTTTCTCAAAAGATTTTAAAATTCATCATGCAGATTAGGCAATCTGATGCTTTCTGACAGCTCGAGGGAAGTGTATTTGTGTGCATGTGAATGCAGAAAAGAATTAAATCTGGTCCTGCTAAAAAAAAAAAAAAAAAAAAAAAGGAAACAGTTGGTGCTATTTCTGAATTGGCTGTGATATTTAACCATTTCACTCTGGAAAGTACATAGTTGTACTCTGAAAATGTTCCTTTTTTTTTTTTTTTTTTTTTTTGTCTGAGGAATTTGGGAGTAAACTGGGAATGTTTTAGGGCCACAGAATTGTTGTAGCATATGTCTTATATGTTCAGCTACAGTGATCTGGCATGAACTAGAATAGTTAAATGTCTCAAGTTTACTGAATTCATTTGACAGTTGGATTAGGGTTAAAAGTATAGTTTTTACACGTAATGAAGAATGAACAATCATAATAAATATAAA